ATGCCATGAGCCGGCCCACTCTCAGGCAGCCTGGGAGCCAGCCCTGGCCCCCTGACCAGGTGCTTGCTGGGGTTGCCTGGTCCGCCTCCCCTGTGGTTGGGAGCCCTTCTGTGACCATCAGCCTTCCATCAGTGTTCTCCTTTGACATGAACCTCGCGTTGTGCAATCTCTCCCCAGAAATGATGGAGGTGACCCGTGATGGACACCAGCCCGAATAACATCTGTTACTTTTTACTTCTGGAAAATGAGATTCAGCCTGAAGTATGAAGTGCTTTAATTTGTATTTTCGTGCTCCTCAACCCTGGCTAGACATTAGAATTACCTGAGGAACTTCAGAAATACCAAATGCCAAACGACTTGTCCCCAAATAATTAAATCAAAACAGCTGAGGCTGGGGCCTGGCATCAACATTTCTTAAAAATCATTGCAGGCAAGCGGAATGTGCAGGGAGGGTTGAAGACTCCTGAGAGGGAGGATGGAGAGGCAGTGGAAGAGGGTCTTGCATTGCTCCTGTTATTACTAGTAGTGCAACTAGTCCAGCTAGCAAACTTACTAGGGGCAGGGATCATTCCAAGCATTTTTCACAGAAAGAAACTATCCTTGTGTACTCCTTACAATAACATATGAGCTTATTTCATTCTTACAGACATGTGTATGGAAAACTTTGAAGAGGTAAAGCGATTTATTCAGAGTGGAATGACACTCTGGCGATTTGGGGAGATTCTCTATTATGAAAGTGAGATTTCACTTGTTTATCCAGGTGTACTATATCTGATTTTCCACAGCATTGCTCTTGTCAAAGAAGACTTAGATGGTTCTAGTATGGTTAGCGTGCCTTTGTTTGGCCAACAGAGACCGCGATATAATATAATAATTAGTGAGGAATCTTCAGATTCCAGGTCACGTTGCTGGCCTCCTAATTCCTAGTATCAGACTTCACATGAGTTTCTTGAAATGCATCTTTGCTGCAAATAGTTTATAGGATGGTGAAAGTAGGTAGATATGATAACATACTGTCCACAGGGACTCTGGTCCTACATAGAAACTCTGGTAAATACACAAACAGTGACTCCCGTGTACTTGGATTTAACACCTTTGCACGTTCACACGTGCTCTCGCATGTGATATTTACAACCTCCCTGGGAAGTCTCCACCATGAGGGGCTAGGTGGGTGGGGTGAGATTTAGAATGTATTCTAATTTAGCTGCTTGCTAAGTCTGAGATCTCTTGCCTTCTAGTGAGGGCATTCTTTAAACGGTTAAACCACTTGTTGGTTTTGGAGTATAGCTCTATAAATTTTAACCCACGTATAGAGACATGTGACCACCACCCCCCTCAGATATAGACTAGCCGCATAGAGTTCAGAGGGCAGTAGTTTTGCTTCTGATCAGTAGCCACCTGTCTCCTCCATCCACCTGAGCAGCCTGGACAAACTTAACTTTGTGTAAGAGGGTTCCCTTGATGCCAGCTGAGCTGGCGATTTCTTGGTTGTTTGGAGACAAGCCCTTCTGAAATGTTGACTGATGGAGGAGGGAAACAGGTGGGGTGTATGCCTTTCCTTTTTTTCTAGCTTGACAAGATACTGTCATCCTTGATCCTCCAAGGAAGGACTTGAGACATGAAAAGGAAGCTGAAATCAGAGCTCTAAAGGTGTGGGTTACTTTCTGGAAGGGAATGAAGTGATATGCCTTCTAGGCCACCAGAAATAAGGGCTACTGCCTCACAGGGTGCTGTGGCCTGGGATGGGAGACTGGGGTATGGAAAGTGGATGTTCACAGGGCGGTGGAGGTGGGTGGCAGGTAAGCACTTGACCTCTGTCGTGGCTCCAGACCCTTTGTCAGCCCTCCTCCCTCCTCCGTCTTTTCTTCCCCAATTCACATCTCAGCTCCAAGCCCGAAGGCCCAGGGGCCTTGAGTCTGATCTTCCTTCCCCACAACTTGACACCCTCCATAGAATCCTCTACAAGGCAGGGCAGCAGGAAGCTTCTTCGATGCTGGGAGGCTGTTCAGGGGAGCTGATTTTGATGACAGTGCTCATCCTTTGATCTCTACAGCTAACAAGTTACCAACTTCAGATTGGAAAATTCTAACAGTTTTGTTTACTTTGCACTATGAAAGCTTAAGATCCTAGGATGAAAAGCTCTACTTAAATACCAAATAATAATACGGTTATACCCTAGGAGAATGAAAACTTGTGTCTCCAGCTAAAGAAATACCTCTTATTCGTGTAGCTTTTCTTGTCCCTATCCGTATCTCTGTGACACACACGAGGCATTTACAGCCTCTGTGTTCTAGTAAAGCACAGGAACATAACACAGATGGGAGCTCGGGCTCTGCTGGTGGAGATAATCGGTCCATGGTACAAGGGCCAACACGGGTCAGGCTGCTCCTTTCTGTGCAGAAAGAAGTGAAGTTTTCTGGGAGGGAAGGAGGGATGCGGGAAGGAGGGATGCAGGAAGGGTGGAAGGACACTTGAGCTGAGTCTAAATGGAGCGGGTAGGGAAGAGCTTTTCTTGCAGAGGAAAGAGCCAGTTCAAACCTGGCTGACAACAGGTTGGTGTCTTCCAGAGAAGAGAGAACGTTGTTGAGCCTGGTGGCGGGTATGGTAGGAGGCAGGGCCTGGGTCATGTAGGGTGTAGATCATGCTAAGGAGTTGACTATTTTGTTCTTAGAGAGAAAGAGATTTTAAGCAGAGGGCTAACATGGCCCAATTGATAAGATTTAAATATACCTCTGGTTGCTGTATGGTAGGGGAGAAAATTAGTGATCAATGAAGAGACACAAAGGCTCTCCCGGAGGACCCAGAGGGGCTGGTGAGAAGTGGTCAGATTTAAGTAATATTTTGAAGGCTGAGCCAATGGGACTTGTGACTGGGTTGGTATGGATGGGATAAGGGAAAGAGAGGGATCAAGAATGACCCTTGGGCTTCAGAGCCCGTGAGGGAAGGTGTGTATCATGTAACCAGATAAGGAAGACGGGGAGGCAGTGATTGGGGGGTGGGATCAGAGCAAATCAGAGTTCTGTTTGGACTGGCGAAGTGGGAGATAACTGTAGACATCCAAGCTGAGGCGCCGAGGAGTCACTGGGTACCCACCCGCCTCTGGGGTTTGAGGTGGAAATCAGGCATTTAAGTCATTCCTTCTTAAGAACTTAGTTCTTCTGAAAACTTTGACTATTTTAGAAACATGTAGTTATTTGAGCTTGCTTTGATCCCTGAGCTTGATAACCGGAGAACATGCTAGAGTATGTTGAGATTTCTTACCTCCCTCCTGTGGATAAGGGAAGATGCATCCACATGACGAGCAGACGGGAGCCCTCTGCAGCTATACCAACTGCATTATGGTGGGATAGTTCTGAATATTTCTCTAGACTTAGGCAACCATTTCTCTGAGTTTTTTTATGCACACCCACTTTATTAAGTCAGACGTAAATCTCATTTCCTATTCATATATGTTCCCGGTGGAGTGCAGCACAATAATTAAGATCTAACAAATTGTTAATCATGTTCACGTTTCAAAGGTTCCTGAAGATAACCCAATCACGAGTGTTCCAGGTGCTTGTGTCTGAGTGTCTTGTGCATGACGATTGGACCCCATTGTGCCTCTACCATATACAATAGCCAGAGTACAGTCGCTGTGGACATCAAGTGGGTGATAGATCAGAAGACGACAAAGAAAAAGGGGTGGATGATGCCTCAGTAGGGAAAACACCTAAAAGCCAAGACCCACTTACCTGTTATGTTTGGATAAGTTTCCCCACTTGAACTATCCCTGGGTTAAGCTATGCTTCCCCTTTCTATTGCATTTTCTTAAGTCACTTTTGCCGTCTCTTGAAAAAGCACCTTTCATCTATTCCAACGAGGACATTTATCTTATTCCCTAATCTACTGTCCTCTGTAAGTATCCTTGGGTCTCCAGTGTTTTCCTTATTTTGTTCTGTTAGAAAGTCTAGTCATCTTCACTTTCCCCTAGACTGACAAGCGTTGCCCCCTTGGAGAGGAGCCTCCAATTATGCCGTCCGCATCATTGGCTCCCCACATGAACAAACGTGTTGCCAGATGGTAACATTGGCGGTGCCGGGGCTGCGCAAAAGCCGGGGATGGTAACACTGTGGGTAGGCTTTTCAGATGAGCAGATGACTGAGCACCTTCCGGAAAAACCAGTCTTCCCTCCTCTCTGCAGTGAAACAGCTGTGTGATCGTGAGCAAAAGGCTGGATTTCTTCAGGCCTCTGTTCTCTCCTTTGTAAATGGGGATAATTATAAGCCACCTCTGATATCTGAATTAAATGAGTGAACACCTGTAAAACACTTAACAGAGTACCTGCTACATAAAAGGAACTCAACAAGCTTTAGTTCCCATCTTAACCTAACCCCCAGAGTCTTTATTCGTCAGGAAACAATAGCCGTCTGCTCTGAAAACACACAAGCCAGTAAGTGGCTGTTAGTGAAGACAGATCAAGCTTCGGAAGTGAGCTAGACTGAAAAGATGAAGGGCATTGACAGTTACCACAACGTGGAGGAAGGGCGCAGCGGTTCTTGCAGCGTGGTATCAGGGCCCGCACCATCAGCATCACTTGGGAGCTTGGTAGAAATGCAGATTCTCACAGCTACTGAGTCAGAACCTCTGGGAGTGGGCCGGGTGGTCTGGGGTTTTAGCGAGCCCTACAGGTAATTCTGATGCACACTCAAGTTTGAGAACCAATGATCTAAAGTAAACTTAACAGATATTGGGTGAGAAATAATGGTGCATGTTCTTCGTGTGTATGTCTGTGTGCATACACACCCACATATGTAGAATGTTTGTACTGCTGAAACTATTAACCAAGTGTGGTAATACCAGCAGAATCCCGCCAAACTGACAATTAATTACCCATTTTTCTTTGGTACTGTTGTCTGAATCGAAATATGTCTAGAATGCTTATTTTCGGTGACTTTGCACTAAATTCATTTTGGGTTTAAAACTATTGATTCATCAATTTTTTTCTTCTTTTTTTTTTTTAGGAAATTCCACTTACTTGGATGACCATGGACCACCTCCTAGTAAGGTAAGGTCTTTACTTATGGTGTAAATCCTCTTTTTCTTTTCTCAGTACCCACAGCCTCCAATAACCCCAACCAGATCCCTCCTGGCTCTGAATTGTTCACAAGAAAATAGTGGATGACAGATGTCAAGTTAGTCTTTGACTTATAGTGAGGAGAAAATGGAAGCATATGAAGATATCCAAAATGGTGAGGGAGGAGGAGCCATTATTTTTTTTTTTAATTGGCCCTGGGGTAACATCAGTGCCCATCTTCCTCTACTTTATATGGGACACTGCTACAGCATGGCCTGATAAGCAAAGCATCAGTCCACGCCTGGGATCCGAACCCACGATCCCCAGGCCACCGAAGCAGAGCGTGTGAACCCAACCGCTGCACCACCGGGCCGGCCCCGCATCAGTAGCTGTAGCTATCCCAGGCATGGGAGCCTTAGGCTGCCTTCAGACCTTTGGCTGCAGCCTCTGCTGCCTCATTTGCCTCAGCATCCGTGCTGGCCTGTGATTTGATGTCCCCAACCCAGCCTCCTCATGCCTTAGGGTCTTGGGGCTAGACTCACCTCTACTCCTTTCCCCCTGACCTGCCTTAGTTGAGATACTCCACCCAAGGTCAACCCCTTGGAACTGGCCTTCTCTGCCAGTGCCCTCTCAAGGCTCCTCTAGCCTGGTCTGCATGCCTTCTTTAGTTCTTTTCCTGTAAGCAGTTTTGTCCTGACTTTTAAAGGTCAGAACAGTCCTGTGAAGTATTAATGTAGTTCCCACTACTATCTACTTTCTTGAGCTCAGTGAAAACCAAATGTCCATCTGCAAAAATTGAGAGAAGCAAACATAGTCTTTGACCACTTAAGGCTATGCCTGCGAAGTACAGTTGTGAGTACATAATGAGAAGATAATCATCCACTAACCTTAAAGGCTGGAAATGTAGCGCAAAGTCGGCTTTCAAGTTTGTGGGATTTGAAGAACTCTATCACCTTTAAGACCTTGAGCTTTGGAATGAGGTATTTCTGGGTTTGTCATTGGCTCTGCTGCTTTCCATATTTGACACTGGACAGATTACTTAATATTTTGAGCTTCAGTTTTTTGATGTGGAAGGTGGGATTAAAAATACTTCCCACAGTACAGAACATCTCAAAGGACTGAATGAGCTGATATGTGACAAGCACTCAGGACCTGGTATGCAATAAGCGTTAAATGAACGGTGGCTCGCGTTAACTAGACTGGAGTAACGTGAGGATTATTGATGAAAGGTACGGTAGTATTTATCACAGTCATGAATGGCTCTACCACTTGGTCCACTGCATAGATATCGAGTGATGCTGCAGGCACTAGGAATACAAATATGAAACAAAATAAGAACAAGAACAAAATAGCCCGTGTGCTGGAGGCTCAAAAGAATATAGAGGATTAGACGCCCTCTGAGGATCAGGACCGCATCTAGCTCATCTCAGTATCCTCACATCCTTGCATCAGCCTCGGTGCACGGAGAGGCACATCGTGACTATTCATTAAATTTCACTGAATTGGACCATGGAATCCAGAGCTGGAATCTGAATTAGGTCTTCTGGCTCCCATCCCAGGTTCTTTCCACTGGGCCAGTGTTCTCAAACTTTAGCTTGCATCAGGATTTCCTGGAGGCTTGTTGAAACACAGGTTGCTTGGCCCAGACCCCTGAGTGCCTGATTCTGTAGGTCTAGGGTGGGACCTCAGAAATTGCATTTCTGACAAGCTCCTAAGTGATGCTGTTGCTGCAGATCTGGGGACGATGTTGAGAAACACTGCTGTAAAGGCTATGAATATAAAGAAAGCCATTTCCCTGGATATTTTCTGGGTTATTTTTACTGCTAATAGCCTAGATAGAGTGGTATGGATTATTACATAAAGACTATTTATTAATATAATGATGACTCACCATTGTAACTTTTCTTGTAGTGAAAACATATTTTCTTTGGTCAATAAGCTGCCTAGGAGGGAAGATGAGTGGGGGTGGGGAAGAAGAGTGGTGTGAATGGCCTGCTTCTCTCCCAAGTGGGGCCAAGTGAGCCCTTCCCACCCTCTCGGCTCTGCAAGGAAGGGGGTTAGGTGGCTCTGTCTGTGGGACCCATCGGCTGTTTCCCTCAATGGCATGTTGGGACATTACTTTGGTTCCAGGTTTGGTAAATGGGGTTCTACCTGGTCAGAAGACCCAAGCTCACTTTATATAAATTTGCCTTCTTGAACTCAATCCTTAGTGACCAGCCTGGGACCACCCTTTAGTCTGCCTGGGGGCCTTGCTCTTGCAGAGTTGGCCATCCTGCCTGCCTCTTTGCCAGCATTCTTGGTGCCTAGATTCTGTGTTTGATGGGCTCTCTCCCCTACTCCCTGTAGGGCTTTCCCTGGCCGTGCATCCTTCCACCCCTGCTATCTCATCTTCACCCCTCCCTTCCCTGCACTCCCAACTAAGGCTCCCTGTGATACACAAAAATGATCAGGTCATATCAAATCATTTTAGACCACTTGCAGAATAAATCCAAGCTTGAAAATTGTGAATATAATCTCTTTCAACTAGCAGAAGTTTATGTAATACAAATTCTTTCACTCTAACTGTATTTTCATTATCTAGGAGTTAAGTAGCAAAAACACTCTTGACTTTCTAAGCAGTAGCCAAAATAAGAAGAATATAAAAATGGGTAAAAATAATATTGGTATGTTAACATTTTTTCATCCATGCTTATTACTTCTGGCAGGGTGGAAATGAGTCCCAGAAGTGGTGAAGTCAGACTTCCAGATAAAGGTCCCTTGAGTGTCCTTGAGATGGGGCCTCGGTTATCAGGTCTAGTGACCACTGCCATATCCAGGGACATGGTGGCATCCAGAGGATGAGGACTCATACATGTGTGGCCTCCAGAGTGAACCCCCAGCCTGGCAGGGGAAGCAAGATTGAGTCCAGACCCACAGTTTTCGTATTTGGTTGGCACTCAGAAATAACCTTTTGTTGCCAAGATTGAAAGAGCTGTGGTCTAGATAAAGTAAGATTTTTAAACCCTGAAAAGGTACTGAGATTAACAGGCAAGTTCTCATTTTATTAAAAGCTCAGTTCCACAGGCTTCGCATTCCACAAGTAATAGCCATTTAGGGAATGGGGCGTGTGCCACACAGCACACAGAGCCTGGGACTTCATTCTCTCCAATGTTTTCATAAAAATGAGCCAAATGCCTCTGGTTTTTACTTGTTTTTAAAATTCACTTTAACCTCACGGCTCACCTCAGTTTTTGATCTAAGTCATTATTTAAAGGCAAATGTTAGTATTTTCTTTTGTTGACCACTTTTTACTACCACTTTATGTGTGCACAGAAAGCAGTGGTTAAAGGTTAGAACCCTACCAAGAATGAACACGTAGATCTCTATTGAATGAACTAAAAAGATACTCTTGAGTACAAAAACAGGCATGAAATTGCAAGTATAGTGTGATTGCACTTTTTATAAAGTTGTGTGCATATGTATGTGTGGATGCAGAGAAAAGCCTGGAAGGCTAACGGTGTTTTCTCCAGATAGTGAGATTTCAGGGAGAATTTTACTCTTTTCCTTATACTTTTCTGTATAATTTGAGTTCATTAAGGTAATGCTTGCTCAATCTAAAAATGAGGGAAAAAAATGTCCTTGTGTAAGAAGTTTAAAGTTTGGCTGAAAAGCCTGCCGTGCTCTGGCCTCTGTAGCATCATCGGCTGTTCTGTCGACCCCCCGGGCACTGTGACCTCTGGAGGTTGACGTCTTCTCCTCCTGGCTTCACTTCACCTGGAACGCGGGTCCCTGATGTGAGCAGCAGGCATCAGCAATGATAAATTCTGGTGGTTGCAAGTAGGATAGGGTTATCATTTCACTTATGTTGGATTCCCAAATCTGATAGATAAGAAGAGCTGGTCTGAGCAACTCAAGGAAAATAAAACCACTTTCCATAGCTGATTTCTTTCCTAGGTGCCCAGCACTCTGCTAAGCGCTTTGCATGCAAGTTTAGACTCTATAAAAGAGGAAGTAATTTTTTAATCCTTATTTTACAGATGAGGGAACTGGATCTTAGAGAGGCTGAATACCTTGCCAAAGGTTGTTCACTAAGCACTGGACTTGGGATTCCAGCCCAGGGCTGTGTAGCTTCAGGGTCCACATTTTTAACCATCGTGAGATTACTTATTTAAGTAGAAATACAATAATATATATATATTTTTTTTTTGGTGAGGAGGACTAGCCCTGAGCTAACATCCGGTGCCAATTCTCCCCTTTTTTTTTCTTGAGGAAGAGTGACCCTGAGCTAACATCCATGCCCATCTTCCTCTACTTTTTATATGGCACACCGCCACAGCATGGCTTACCAAGTGGTGCGTCGGTGCGCACCCGGGATCTGAACCTGGGAACCCCCGGCCCCTGAAGAGGAGCGCACGCACTTAACTGCTTGTGCCACCGGGCCGGCCCCAAAATACAATAATTTTTTTACCTTATTTCTGGAGTTTACCCTTTTATATAAGTTACCTGGTACTTTAACTAGTACAATAAACAAGTCAATTCTCAGTATACCGGAAAAAATAATCACCATTTACCATCTGGATCCAATGGACTCTTCTAATTTTTTTTTTTAACTATCTAGTAAATTTTTAAATTTCTACCTCGTCTTTTTCCTTCCAATCACCTTAGTATATATCTCTACCTTCAGCATTTGTCCATTTACAAACTGTATATAAAGTAAATTTTGGTGTACAAATATCATAAAACGTGAAAGACTGCTGTTCCACATTCATTTAGCAAAATGGTCTGGTCCAGGTTCTTGTCACACATCTTGTTTGATGAAGCCCTTCCTCTTGAATGACTAACTGCTGAGAATACTATATTTTCTTGTCGTCCTTAGAAATATATTATTCACTCATCGACTCGAGTTTAAGAGAAAGAATCTATGAAGACCATTGTCTTCAGACAGAGTCTGAGGTATCACTGTTACGATCAACTTTGTCATCATCGTTAGAGTCTTGCGTGCTGCCATCTGA